GGGGGGGGGGGGGGGGGGGGGGGGGGGGGGGGGGGGGGGGGGGGGGGCAGGATCAAATGATTTACGATTGTCTGTCTTTGTAAACAAGCACTTTCTCGTGAAAGAGGTAGATTCCAAGAGTCTGTCCATCTTGTCTAACATTTATTTCTGTTCTCGGTGAAAGGGTCATGTACCCCGTCAGGCAGGAAGCGTGCCATTTGCTGTTCTTTCACCCGACACGATGGACGACAGAATACGAAACTAACACACTGGGGCAACCCAAGCGCCAGCTAGGCTCGAGATGAGCAGGGGGCAGGTGTTGTTGGCTGCACTCGAGACGAAAGCACGACTACGGAGAGTGCGCAGCAGCCAGCTGCCAGACACACACAAAAAAAAAACAAGAAACAGCAGTGCGGATAGGACCATGATTCAGTCTCGAGCAAGGCAAGTAAACACAAAACACTGCATGCGCACTTTAGACGACCACAAGCGGAGGGGGGATAAGCCATGATTCATTCTCCCCTAAAGGAAGGAAAATCGCACCAAACACCCACGTACACGCATGAACCATCAGAGGGGGGGGGTGAACCGACGGGGGCCCGCACACAAGAACCGCGACAGCAGCTCATACCCGCCGAAAATCCTTACAACACCGCTGCGGCTCACCAGAATGATTTCCTCGTTGGGGAACATGAGCGTCATTTCCCGGTCCTGAGCAGAAAACACGGCGGTGAGGCAGCAGGGGTGTAGAGGTGAGGGCTACGCCAATTCGTTGGATGGATTGGTATTTCGACACAGCAGGAAGTCGTCCCGGTATATCGCGGTGCCCAATAGCGCGGTTCCCGATATACCGCGGCAAAAAAAAATCCATGGCGCACACACGTAGGCAGTTGATAAGGGACTTGCCTGCCACTTCACTCTTCAATACGATACATCGGGACAACTACTGCGCTTTTGAATTTCTGCCGTGCAGAAGCTCCAATCGGTGGTCACACAGAAGCTCCAATCGGTGGTCACACAGAAGCTCCAATCCGTGGTCACACGGAAGGGGTCCTCTCCCTGACGCCCTCCTGCTGATGGTTGTCTTCGATATTTTCGCGAAAAGAGCGCAGCACTCTCTTCCCTCGAAGTGATGGAAAAAAAAAATGCTTCGCAAAAATCGAGGATCCCTACGGCCAATGCTGATGCTGCCCATGTCATGCTGCCAAGGGTGACAACAAGAAGATAGAGATTGATTTGTTGTGTTGTACTTCTAGCAAGAAAAAGAAAAAAGAAAAAGAGCCTAGCCGCACGATTGTGGGTCTCTCCAGCCATGGCATGGCTATGATACCCAACAATGTAGCCGACCAATAAAGAATGCGACAAGAAAAAAAGCTACTTCTGTTTATCCGTTTTACCTCGGCTCCTCTCCCCCATGTCCCCTTGGCCGCTGCGGCGAAAGCAACAACAACATCATCATAAAACAACAAACAACACGAGGGGCCGGTTCGCCGCCATCTTCTCGTGTACGCCGTACAAGCGCATGCCAGTCTCACCATCGCCCAGCCCGAAAGCACAGCCACAGGCACCACGAACATCGACACCTGTGTCGCAGAACCCACCGCCACCCCCATGGCCAGCTCCATCTTGTTCTGTAACGGTGAAAACCGAATCAGAACGCCACCAAGGTTGAAGATAACGGAAGGGGGGGGGGGGGGG